GCCGCAGAAACTTGGGGATTTATGGCCCTGCGGCCTGCGGATTTTCGTTTTCTGCCGAACGACACGACGTTCTCGAAATCTCTCTCCGCGCGCCCTTGCCGATGGAGACTCAATTAATATTTATGGGGATAGCTCCAACTAGTTCCGCCGTCTGTCCTCCCCTCCCCGCCTCGCTTACTCAGCCGCGTCTTTCCTACCCATCCCATTTCCAGCTATTCCCCGGATGGAGGTTGCAGCAGCATTGGTTAAGCTCCGCGCGGTAAAAAGGAATAGCGGCTCGCGTTCACTCCGACGTTCGCTATCAGTTTTATTCGCGCACTGGGATTCTTCCGAAGTATCGTTACGATACCCTTACCTATTTTCGAGCGGGCTCTTCGAGTACGGTTTTAGCGTATCTCGCACGCTTATCCGCAAGTAACGTGCCAGTGACACGGATGGTAAGTTAGTCGGAACGCACATAAATTGTGGCTTATCGCTCGGCCGGATATTTTTCGACGTACTTGAAAACAGCAATCGACCGTTCGTACACACGTCCTTTTTTGCAATATTTCCGGCTCACTGTTTTTTGCGTCTAAATTTTTTTATTGCCTCGTTAGCTTTCACTGCGCTCTCCGCGGACAGTAAGATTATATCCCAACTTTTGTATTACACGACGATACGTCGGAATTTTGGCGAGTTTTTCCTATGCTGTTTTTCTCGCACCACATGATAGTCACGACTGCTGAAATTACTTTAGACATTTTATATCTTATGTTTCTGAAAGCTCATATATTTTTGCGCTATAAAAATATATCTCTATTTTCTTAGATATGGTTCACCGTCTATTAAAATCCGCAACTTTATTATTTTTGTACGAAATAATAAGTCTCATAGTATGAAAATTTTTAACACACGGTTCTAAAAATAAAATCTGATAATTGCGATATTTCTAGAAAGACTATATCATACAATATAAAGAAAACCATGAATAAATGTAAGATTATATTGTGCTTTTAAATTCAAAAAATTATTATTATTTGGCGGTTTAAGAGTAGATATTTCGCACGCGCTTCAACGCACTACTTAAAATTCCCTAAGCAGCTGTGAGAGCTTCACAAGATCGAGAGTAAAAGAACGATGGATGGAAGCAGTACACTAAAAAGCCTTTTTTTTCACACGATGTAGCCAATGTCGGGCGAAGGTAGGGTCCAGTTATAAACCTCCGCGAAAGCGGGAACGAAAATTCCCGGAGCGGAAATAAAAGTAAATTAAAGCGCACGCGGTCGGTTGTTTAAAATGTAACAGCCAATTACTGACCTTCCGGTAGTACGAGGTCGCCGATCGCACGAACGAGCAAAGCTTTCTACCATTTTCCTGGTGATTTTCTTTGGGGATTCTTGTTCTTCCCTTTTGATATAATTTCCCACAATTTTTATAGGTTTATCGTATTTTTTTGTAAGTTAAGATTCATACTTGCAAATTTATTCTTGTATTTAAAAGAAAACAATAAAAATTGTATATTACGCATTTTTTAAAAGTTTTGATAACATATTTGTAGAAAAAAAAATAATTCAATTATATTTAAAATTTTGCAATGTGTGTACACGCGCTCTAATCAAAGTTTTTCACATATTTCGTACTTTCAATTTGTTCTGTCCTTTGTAATTACGTGCTTTTACATTCGCCTTGATAAAATCGTTCGTGATTTAATTTAAGATGTCTACGAAGCAGGTACGTGAAGAGAAAGCATTCTTACGAAATTATCACCGGTTTAAAATTTTCCTAATTTCTTAACGTTCTCTTTGAGACTCGCGCAGGGACAGAACGTTTTCCGCATGCTTCTTATCTGCAATTTCGTTCCATTTCCTTAGGTGCGCTTTTAAACCATCCAATTCGCTTCTCAAACGAAAAAGTCACGAAACGCAGGAAGGAGTTTCAAATTATTCGCCTTCTAACAGATACCCAGTTATCCAGGATACGATTAAGCTCGAGTTATATCGCGTTCTGTCGCCGTTTGCTGTGATATCTTTTTGTCAAACATGATCAAGAAAATTGTTTCATTCACGATTATATTAGATGCTGATTATTTAGCAGAAATAAGTTAATCAATTTAATTTGGATTTAATTTTGCTTTAAAATATATAAAGATGTACCAAAAATGTAAAAACATCAAACATTCATAAATTATAAATGATGAAAATTGTGCTTTTTGTGCTAAATTTCAGATACATAAATAGGCAATAAGTTTTGATTTCTCATGAATTTTTAAATGGATTAAATTTTAATAAATTATCAAATCAAAGCTTTTAATGTGCTTAAAATAAATATGATAAATTTATATTTATCCGCGTACATTTATCATAAAGAATATTGCAATTTTAATATGACCCCAATTTTAATACTATTTTTGTGCCACCAGTTATAATTTTTTATACGGACTACAAGCTTTCTCCGTGAAATATTATGCAGAATAATAACTCGGATACATTGAGCTTATCGAAGCGTTGCTGCATATCGATCCCGTAATTAAGCGATTCCAGGTGTAGCTCTCGTGGGAATAAACCCATTAGGGGGGAACTTCTCTTTGTGGAAGATCTGTCGATTATATCACTCAAGTCGATTTAATAATTTATAGCCGCGTAAGAGCTCCAACGCATTGGTACTCGGATTTATGGGTCATCAATATTTCAGTTGTATTTTCCAGCCGCGCCCCGTAAGCTTAATCTTGTTTTCGTTCCGTTCCGTCAAGTAGTTCAAGTGAAGCGCGTTTATTTCGAACACGACCGCCGTCGCAGACGACCGCCGTCGCAGACGACCGCCGTCGACATCGTTGCCGGTCTAATCGTTAAACTTTTACCGCCCGTATTCATTGAGCAAATCCCTTTTTTATTTATAGGCTAAATGTCAATTTTACAAATTATTATTATACATTATTTAAAAAATTTTCACGCGTACTTTTATACTTTTATATAAATTTCATTTCTATTATTTCTAAATAAATAACTTACTCTTAAAATTGTTAATTTTTTACTTATTTCTTTCTGCAATTACTATTTTTGTAATTTATTATCAACAAAATAGTTTCAGTATTTTAAGTTCTCATGTTATTTTATATCAGAGCTCGGCGTTAGTTACACATTTCGGCTCGATTTTTAAGACGACGCCTCCCGCTGTCCCACTACCGCGCGGCCGCTGACGACCGAGCCGCCGATAGCCTTGACTCAGGAGCGTCTGTGTAACAAATAGGCTGATGATGAGCGGGCACCTTTCAGAAAATAAAATTTTCTTTGTTATAGAAATAATATTTATTTTTACTAATTATAATTAAATATCTTTATTACATTCATTATAATAATTTACTTAGACAATAATATATAATATTAAAAAAATGAAAATAATTAAAATAAATCAAATTATTAAAAAATTTAACTTTTTAATAAAAATTGAATGGTTTTTTAATTAGAAATCAATAACTTTCCACATTACCCCTGAGATACTATTGTGAATGCGTTTTTTAAAAAGTGGTTTCCTCAATAGGCCTATTTTACTAAAAAATAATAAAGATAACTTAATATCTAAATAAATATGGCTTGGCAGAAAATTTTATATAGGGTTTAGATGATATTTTATATTTAAGATAACAAAAAAGAAACAAATAAAAAAATTAAATAATTTAAAAAAAATAGAAATAGTTAATTTATAAAACTTTTGTTGGATGTTTTTGGTCATTTGCATGATTTTATTAAGGACATCCACAGAAATAGAAGACCTAGTTCGCATCAAAGAGAATAATGATGCATTGCACACAAAAGAACGTCTTTCCGTTTTTATTAATTTTATTTTACAGAAAGAGTATTTGCATAAATATGTACCGAAAACGTTTATTATCAATATTCGAATTACTTTTATGGTAAATTAAATTTGATAATTTACATTTTAAAATATGAGGACAAAAAAAAATGTAATTAAATGGTAATTTAAATTTTAAAATATAAGGACAAAAAGAAATGTAATTAAATTAAAGTATTAAAATTAATTTACCACAAAAATAATCAGGATATCGAGAGATCTTTCAATCTCTCCGGGCGGTTTTTCGAAATTCGTTAATTTTTGAAAAAATTTGGGGTGTTGGGGATTATGGATCGCCAACATTTTTCATTTGAAACCGAGTACCTACGTCGATGCGTCTCGTTGAGACAAGAAACTTTGGTCCTATAAACATATAGCATCATTATTCTCTTTGATGCGAACTAGGTCTTCTATTTCTGTGGATGTCTTTAATAAAATCATGCAAATGACCAAAAAAATTCAACAAAAGTTTTATAAATTAACTATTTCTATTTTTTTTAATTTATTTAATTTTTTTATTTGTTTCTTTTTTATTATCTTAAATATAAAATATCATCTAAACCCTATATAAAATTTTCTGCCAAGCCATATTTATTTAGATATTAAATTATCTTTGTTATTTTTTAGTAAAATAGGCCTATTGAGGAAACCATTTTTTAAAAAACGCATTCACAATAGTATCTCAGGGGTAATGTGGAAAGCTATTGATTTCTAATTAAAAAACCATACAATTTTTATTAAAAAGTTAAATTTTTTAATAATTTAATTTATTTTAATTATTTTTATTTTTTTGATATTATATATTATTGTTTAAGTAAATTATTATAATAAATGTAATAAAAATATTTAATTATAATTAGTGAAAATAAATATTATTTCTATAACAAAGAAAATTTTATTTTTTGAAAGGTGTCCGCTCATCATCAGCCTATTTGTTACACAGACGCTCCTGAGTCAAGGCTATCGGCTCGGCCGCCGGCGGCCGCGCGGTAGAGCTTTGTTTTATATCATTACTTTACTTCAATATTATATATTTGTATATGAAATATTCCTAATTACAGATATAACATAATATATTTGCATTTTCCTAAAAATATCGAACGGCTATTTTTACCGTTACATTCCGAGCAATATATACATAATTGAATACTGTAATAAATATATTCACTCACCGGCTGATGCACTGCTCTACTGCAATACTGCTCTGTTACATCTCGGCAGCTCCATTTCTGCACGTAATCGTTGCTCTGTTACATCTCGGCAGCTCCATTTCTGCACCTAGCCGTTGCTCTGTTTTCCAAATCACTCGCGACGATACACACACATGACACACGATAATCACTTCAAACAACATCGCCCGTAACTTTATTCGACACTCCCGACGATTATTTATCCACGGACTTTGATACACTTTAAACGAAAATAACGCACGACACTCGCCCGTATATAAAATTGACACTCCCGATTCGTTAAACGCGACACGCACAAAATTACAGAAACTCTGGATAAATGCAGCGTTACGTGGCATCTCACATCTGAAACGAGACACATAACCTCTTTCGTTGAATCTGGTGCGACAAACCCTTGATGCTTTTATCAATGGTTCTCAATATAGGTATTTGTTGTCTAATAGCGCTTACGGGCCACTAAAGCTGAAATGTGTTGAAAAAGCGTGTATCGGACAACAGAGTCCCACGAAACGTTAAGCGATGAACTGACTTCAAATGCTGAGATACGCACTTATCGTGATTACAATTTATTGTTCCGAAATAATCTCTGATCGTTCAATTCGACACATTCAGCATCACTTATGTGCGAAATTTGTCCAAAATGTATAAAAATGCGCGGGAGAACGAAACGATCGCAATGCAGTTTACTGTTAGTTCTAAGAATGTGACGTGAACTGATTGGCGGTTGACAAAATTCTTACGCCACCTTCATGCGCCTATTTCTCATTATTATACGGCAACAAATAGTGCCATGATCTAACGACGCGTCATCGATAAATTCGATCGAAACATGTTAAATATCTTTTCGATTCTGATGCAAAAATATCCAAAACTTGTTTTATCACGATTAAACTGCTTAATTAGCACATTAAAATGCTCATCGCAAAAATCCATATTGTTTAATATACGCGTAAAAGCATGGTGAATGTATGTTTTGTTGAAAAGCCATAATAGACTGTTCCATACGCGAATGTCTTATTTAATGGACTGTTCCATACGCGAATATCTTATTATTTGTATCAAGTTACTTGCTTTGTTGAAGCTGTTATGACAAATCCTCGATGCTTTCGTCGATGCTTTTCGATAATCTCAAGATAGAATGACGCTTACGATGTCTGTGTGAGGAGCAAGTAGTGCAAACAGAGTGTGGTCGATAGTCCCGCGGCGGAACGCGAGAGACGATGGGCTTCGAACGGAAATATGCATTGATCACGATCGCGTGAGTAACTTAATACTTCAAAAGAATCGCACATCGCTCAATTTGACACATTCGGTATTCATTCGTACGCGGAATTTGCTCAGTGTGAGCAAGAAAACACGAAATCACGGAGCGATTTCGATTCGACTTACCCTCAAGGACGCTCGACGTGAACTATGCGATAGGGTGTTTACAAAATTTATATTCTTACGCCACACTTTCGTGCGCCTATTTCACATTACTACGCGGCAGTAAATAGTGCAGTGATCCAAGACGCGCAATCAATATCAATATTAATTATGAATAACGCATAATTGCGTTAATTGATATATAGTGAAAGCATTAATTTTGGAAAATATAATAATAAAAACATTTGTTATGTATGTATATTTATTTTTGACTGTATAAAATAGCTTAATGTTGGACAAATGCAATATTTAATTTTAAATGTAATTTTTTGTAGTTTTTATTTAAAATTTATTTAATATTTACTTGTAATAGTAATTTTTAAAGCACAAAAATCGATATGATTATGCAATGACAATGCAATTTGTATATCATATGTTTAATACATTATTTAAAATGTACGGGTAATAATACATCATGGACAGAGACTATCAACTTCTTGAAAAATTACCGACATTAATGATTACATGAATGGCTCGTCGAAGCCAACATGTTAAGATTGATGATAGCGTTGACGCGTGTAGAAAGTAGAGTAAAGTGGAGAGAACGTGCAATCGGTACAACAAATGGCACAAAGTTTGTAGTGCGATGGGTAAAGGTAGAGCTTTTGGTTGAGCGCTCCGGAATTCAATAAGCCGCTTATTCCAGCACGTAATGCGGTAAGCCGCGCGGAAAAGTTTACGGCGCTTGTTAGTTTCGGTACAGTAGTGCCTTAAAAGTGATGTAGGATATGGAGCGGCTCTCCGGCAACCAACGCCACCCCTTTACTGTACGCCCTGTAGCAGTTGATAATATCTGGTAAGCCATTACTTCCGTTTTCCGGGCGGACCCCGTAGCTTATCTTAAACTAGGAAGGCGGACGAGGAACCATCCGGGAGATTTAAAGTAAACTGCAGTCGGCTATGAGGCAAACCATACTCCCGCCTTTCTTCTTTGCCCTCTCTTTCTGTCTGTTCAAAACCATCCGCGTCGCACTATTTGCGCTCTCAGTCGGCGGATGCAAGTATATGTATGTAATGTACATGTAACTGTAAGTATGTGTGCGCGGATGCACACCAATCCATTGTCTATAACGTGAGATGACCAAACCTCATCTCTCTCATTCCGCTTTCTCATCTCGTTCTTACCATTTTATCTCCCTTATTTTCCACTTTAGCGAAATCGCGTTCGATTCTGGCACAACCCTTCGTTTTTTGTTCTATTTTATGTCCATCGCAACGAGACGTTTAGATCTCTTTACTGTTTCCTATACTGTAATATTAGTGAAAAAATTTTTAAAAAACTTTGCTAAAATACATGTTATACATAATAGAAGTAAATTTTATTTATTCTTTAATTTACATCAAACAATGTAAAATAATTAAAAAGGACAAACTTGCCATTTTTATTCTTATTACTTTAAAAATTTTTATTTTTAATATTATTTTTATTACAAGATTATTTTTAAATATATGTATATAAAAGAAATCGATTTTGATTTTTACTTCTTTATCTTTATTTTTTTAATGTCTGAGATATTTGATATCATTTTATGTTCTTGCCATAAAATTGCCGCCATAAAATTATAGTATTAACAATTATTTTGAAACTTAAGCCGAAGGAATTCTGACAATTTTGGATAGAGAGTTGTACCGAGATAACTGGAAACAACCGTCCCTTCTTGCTTTGCTCGAAGTTTACTATTTGCATAACTAAACTATACCATCGATGAAGTGGCCGTTGTTACTGCTGCTTGGTATGGGTGCAGGCACTTTCTCAATAAAATTCATGTATACACGTACGCATTTATACTATATCAGCACGCACGAGGGATGTATAAAGAGCAAACAGTTTTGACTCTCCATCCATAACGTCCATTCCTTCAATACGCCGATAAACTGCGTACATCACACACGAATCATTTATTCGGGCATCGTGCATATTAAGTGTCGTATCGCCAAAAAAAACAGCGACGAAAATAAATTTTCAATTTCGATGCAGAAGCTACTTGCTGATCGAACACGTTGTCTTTCTTTCATGGAAATGGAAGAATCGACGAAAAATGAAATTCTCTCTATAAATTACACCGCTTGCCGTAAATTGTACGGCACGTGATATATTGAAAAATGCAAAATTTGTTACCGCATTCCGCTCTCGTTTGTTAGAGGAGTACAACTAGCTCTACGCGAAAACCGATGAAAAGGGGGATTACTAATATACGACGCGTCTCTTCCTACGCAAGCGGGACAGACAAGGTGGAGAGAAAAGAGGAGCACGCGTTTAATTAATTACGGGCGTCTCAAAGTTTGCGGATACTTTTCCCGAGTCTTACGGTCTCTGATCCTCGGAAGTTCTCGCGCCAAAGTAACTCTCACGCTGAATCGGTTTTATCGTCGCGAGGAGACGCGTCCGTTCGCTTCGCGCCTTGCCATCGAAGGTAAAATTGATAATCTTTTGCGAAACTATTGCGAAACCAGTGCAAGCATTAATCACGGCGTGCCATCGCGGCGCGACGAGGCGGGCGAACGAGAGAGTCGTCGAGATTTACGCCCACGCCAATAAACAAGAGTTTTACGCGGGCACTTCCTGAGCTGAATTATTTAGCGAATTTTTCATCGGCCGAAGTAACGAACGCGAACGCGAACCGCCCGTAACGAGCTTTTTTTTTACGCCCGTCAAAATCACGTTCCTTTCGGGCTATCCGGTCGAGTCGCCACTCCGGTTCGTAGCGCACTTTTAAATCCGTCCACGAACTCCACTCTGTAGTAGCACTTGATAAACATTTCATTGTTCGTTACTGTGCTTTATCGCACGCGCTATATCGAGTATGCGCTCGACAAACCGCCGAAAAAATAAAAGAAAAGTATAATCGGTGAAGAGGCGATGCTGTTTTTATGTTCGCGGTGTAAACGAGCAACAAATGCGAACGCGATGCCAATGCGTTGGTAAGAATTAAATTGAGATTTGGATCAGCTGATGTCCCTCACGATACTTCGTATAACAAAAATCGGATAAAAGATTCGCTGGCGACAGTAATTTCTGTGCTTTAAAACTCATCAGCATCGTTCTTGTGCTCCAATTACTTCTGTTTTACACTCGGATGTGAGCTCGTTGCGCGCTAAGTATTCATACTAGTGAATAATATATATAACTCCGTTTCCGGTTAAACTCGTTTTAAATACCTGATAAATGTAACATTTCTCTGCCGTTGGAATGACGATATTAATGCATGCTTCCAGTGTCTCTCTTGAAAAAGAATGAGCTAATTAATAAGCAATATATCGTGACTTTAATTGTAAAATATTAAATGACAATTTAGCTAATTTAATAATAATTAAAATTTAATTATTTACTTGAAAATTTCTATGGTTTTCATGCAATTTAAGCTTCCTTTTTATCATGTAAAAATGTTTGATAATCGCGTGTTATTAAAAAATTGTAGCTTGAATTAAAATTACAATTTTTACATTGTAATGTTCAATTATAAAATCGCTGTGCTGCCGTAATACAAGAATGAAAGCAAATAAATGCTTTGCTGATGGTTTGATCGTGTAATAATCGTGTCTGATAAATGCAAACGCAAACGTATGCTCATTGTTACTTGAAATGCATAATAATATTTGTCATTGGATGTTATCGCAAAATTTCTTCTGTTAAGAATGAAAATTGTTCGTCGCAAGCATTGCAGTTTATATATGTATAGCATATTATTATTATTATATTTTAAGCAAAATGTGAGCATTTATGCTTTGATTTAGATTGTAGTAGTAACCAAATCACGTAATATTATAATGTCTATTCAACAGTACGTATCATATTGTATTTTGCGCATGAATCGGGATAGAAACGGCCACACAATGACACTCAAAACAGTTTCTCTATTTTCCACAATTATCCTCTCTCAGGTTTCAACGTTTAAACTCCTTTTCAGTGAACACAAGAGTGCTGGCGTTCCGCGACGAAATGTTTGAACGCAACGTGGCGTGCCATTATCCTCTTTATAAACGGGAATCTATTTTCTGGTTGGACAGGGTTTCGCGGTTGTTCAACTCGACCGATGCTCATCGTGTCGGTCTTTTCATGTCCTGCGAACTCACTACCTACCATCGTTTACAATTTACATTCTCGATAAACGGTTGGTGATGTAACGGCGTGTCGTACGTACTACCTCGCCAATTTTAATTCCAATTTCGGGCATAAATCTGCCGGAGCGTTTACAGCCGCGAAATCATAAAACTCCGTAGAACGAGCGACGTCATAAATTTAATATGAAACTTCCATAAAACATAAACATAAACCGGCTGCGTGACGAGGAGCGGCAGCGAGGAGTAGGAAGGACGGTGGTAGCACAGACGACAAGTGACAACAGCAGGCCGTGAAGGCCGTCACAGGGGTGCGTTTGGTGACGTTGAAAAGTTGCTCTCAAAATTAAAATTCGAGCCATATTTAATAACGTGCCGCTTGCGACGTCTGCAAATGTTCACGACTATCGATTCTATGCGTTAATAAGTCATTTCAAATTAACGTTGAAATATTCGCAAGAATATTACTGTAACCGGAAAGCGAATACACGCAAACTCTCAATATCAAAATAAACGAGGCATAAATACTAATGTAACGTTAGGAGTTGATAGTACATTGAATACTTAAAACACTATCTGGTTATATAATCAAGTTAGTAAGAAACTGGAAAACAAAGAATGTTCAATGCTATTGATTCACTGATTGAAATTATATTTCAGGTGTTGCTTATTAAATATTTATTATGTGATATCTTTTTTCTCTCACTTGTTTTTTCACATTGTCATGCTAGTTAATTTTAAAGTAGTGGGCAGACAACTCAAGAGAGAAAAAAAAACAATTTTTTAAATACAGAATTACAACTATACCTTTTGTTGCCTATCTTATTTTGTTATTTCTTAAGACATATTACAAATTACACGCATCAAGCAATACTGAATCTTTGATATAATATTATGCACAAGGCATAATTATTGCGTATGTTTTACATGCATTTTAGAAAAAACTCTTATGTAAAATTGTCGCTCTCTTTCTTTTTCATCATAATTACTTTGTGAATAGCTTTCAGCTCTTATTTCGTTTGCTTTTTGGAGCGAAGAAAATTTTATCTTTACTTCTGGTCGTTTTTAGTCCGTCAAAATCGCGTTTGCGTAGAAACGCGATGCGCATTTCCAACTTAAAAATTTGTGGTTGAATGTGATAGAAAAAGGCGTGGGCTGCAACGAGAAAAAGATACGCGAGAACGCGTGAAAGTCGACATACGGATGGCTGTTTTCTCGTATGTTTTAAAACGTTGGTGTGTTTAATGCGATGCGAAACTGAATAGAAAACGGCATTGGGAATTAATTCCCTCACGTCTCGTTCTACCTCGTTTTCTCTATTATTATTCTTTTCGTTCTTTTTCGCCCATACACATTCACTCCGTCGCTCTTCTTTTCCCATTATATAATCCACCGTAAAAATTATGAGGCAAATAGGTATAAAATAAATCGAATTTATTGCCTACAATTATAATTAAGAAATTTTTCTTTTTTCTTTATGTTTGATAGCATATATTTATTTATTGTATTTTTACGCTATATTTGAAGTGCTATATATTTTTATTAAAAAATTAATTTCGTCGAATATCTCTTCTCTCACGTACAGATTGCATCGTACAGATTAGCATAAAGATTAGTTTATACTATCGAAAAATCAATGCTGCTTTAAATATATATATATATATATATATTTTTTTTTTTTTTTTTTGAGCGCTTGATGCGATAGCAAAACACAGAAAATATTTTTATTTTTGTATGTAGCAGCATTTTCGTAACTTTCTATGCATTTAATTAAGTATGCAATAAAGTTAACGTAGAGTGACAAAGTCGATCCTCTTACGTTAAAAAACTTTAGATTATGTTATTCCAATATGCAAATGCAATATTTATTATATTACTAATTTATTTTAATGACAAATATTGCTGACGACTGATGTACTCAGAGCAGCATTAAAATTTCTAAATAGCGCATATTTATCTATATGTGATAATTTCTTCGTGTGTAATGACGATGCATAGCTTTGCATGCATATAGCTTTGCCTCTTCGCATTGGCTTAATGAAGCTTTGTGTGTGCAGCGTAAAAAATTAGGTGCTGTAATTAGTCAAATCCGGCAAACGCTTTTTATCGCGATAGCGGATTTATGGTAGTACGTACATTAAGAATTCCATTTTCAGTGGTTATCGGTTCTTTTTATGAATAAATATTAACGCACGAGATATTCTACAAGTTACGTTCGAGAAATAATCGTCATTTTTTTTGCGTGACTGCTGACTCATCCAATCACGAAAAATTGGCAATACTTTGCAACGAGAAGCCGTATGAATATATGGGCATTTGAGAGTGCTAATTAATTCGTTTGATCGTAATAAAACGAGTTTTTTCGATATTTGTATTGAAGTTGATGGATATCTATTGCGTTCCGCTCAGATCCCGTCCGATTGAAAGGCGCATTTTTCAATAAACGCACTTTTTTTATACTACATATTCACGCATAACCGTGTTTCGATAGTACCAAATAAATCTACAGACAAGTTTAGTGTATCAATTAATCTAGGCAACGTGATCACAATTACACGTTCCTTATGATATTTGTAATTAATATTGACTGCGCGCTATGAACTGCCGTACTATTTCTTGTTGCGTAATAATGCAAACAGACGAATGACGTCAAAGTGACGTACGAATTTTGTTAATCAATTAGTTCCGTCAAGCGTCCTTAGGAATAAGAGCATCTAGAAATTGTACAAATAAATTCATACTTACGCTTGAAATATTGAAATATTCGCGAACAGGAATAGTAAGGAGGAATAGTAAATGGATGCGTACACTTTCTAAGACTTTATACGCATCGCGTCTAACGAGTCAAGAATATTGAATAAGACCATGGATATTTCAGTGTCTTAATCTGTTTGATCGTTATAAAACAAACAATATTTATGAATATTTATGTTGAAACCAACATAAATAGATATTTAATGCATTTCGATTAAATTTATCGATTGCGCGTCTTGGATCACTGCACTATTTGTTGCCGCGTAGTAATGGGAAATAGGCGCACGAAAGTGTGGCGTAAGAATATAAATTTTGTAAACACCCTATCGCATAGTTCACGTCGAGCGTCCTTGAGGGTAAGTCGAATCGAAATCGCTCCGTGATTTCGTGTTTTCTTGCTCACACTGAGCAAATTCCGCGTACGAATGAATACCGAATGTGTCAAATTGAGCGATGTGCGATTCTTTTGAAGTATTAAGTTACTCACGCGATCGCGATCAATGCATATTTCCGTTCGAAGCCCATCGTCTCTCGCGTTCCGCCGCGGGACTACCGACCACACTCTGTTTGCACTACTTGCTCCTCACACAGACATCGTAAGCGTCATTCTATCTTGAGATTATCGAAAAGCATCGACGAAAGCATCGAGGATTTGTCATAACAGCTTCAACGAAGCAAGTAACTTGATACAAATAATAAGATATTCGCGTATGGAACAGTCCATTAAATAAGACATTCGCGTATGGAACAGTCCATTATGGCTTTTCGACAAAACATGCATTCATCATGCCTTTACGCGTATATTAATGATATGGATATTTGCGATGAGCATTTCAATGTGCTAATTAGGCAGTTTGGTCGTAATAAAACAAATTTTGGATATTTTTGCATCAGAATCGAAAAGGTATTTAATATGTTTCGATCGAATTTATCGATGACGTGTCGTTAGATCATCGCACTATTTGTTGCTGCATAGTAACGAGAAATAGGCGCATGAAGGTGGCGTAAGAATTTTGTCAACCGCCAATCAGTTCACGTCACATTCTTAGACTTAACAGCTGTATCGCGATCGTTCCGTGTTTTCGCGCCTTTTTATATGTTTTGGACGAATTTCACACATAAATGATGCTGAGTGTGTCGAATTGAACGATTAGAGATTATTTCGGGACAATAAATTGTGATCACGATAAGTGCGTATCCCAGCATTCGAAGTTAGTTCATCGTTTAACATTTTTGTCGTGGGACTCTGTTGTCCGATACACGCTTTTTCAACATATTTCAGCCTTAGTGGCCCGCAAGCGCTATTAGACAACAAGTACCTATATTGAGAACCATTGACAAAAGCATCAAGGGATTGTCGTAACGGATACAATGGAAAAGGTTATGTCTCTCGTTTCAGATGTGAGATGCCGCGTAAAGCTGTATTTATCCTGAGTTTCTATTTTGTGCGCGTCGCGTTTAACGAATCGGGAGTGTCGTTCGTGTACACGGGCGAATATCGTATTTCGGGTTATTTTCATCCAAAGTGTATCAAAGTCCGTGGATAAATAATCGTCGGGAGTGTCGAATAAAGTTACGGGCGATATCGTATTGAAGTGATTATCGTCGCGAGTGATTTGGAAAGCAGAGCAATAGCTAGGTGCAGAAATGGAGCTGCAGAGATGTAGCAGAGAGCAGAATTATAGTAGAGCAACAACTGGTAAGTGAATATCTTTACTACAGTATTTAATTATTTATACATTTCCCGGAAAGTAATGGGAAAAATAGCTGATCGCTATTTTTAAGAAATGCAAATATATTATGTTGACGATTATAGCGATTATGTTGCATCTGTGATTAAGAGTATTAAAATTATGTAGCATTTACCTTATTTATTAAAGAATCTTTAACTTTTGAGCCTGTGTAAAATAGTAAGCACATACGCCATATCACACGGTAAATTATAAACGTACTTGTTTTCTAATTAATCGAACAAGATACGAGACATTGCAAATTCTCAAACTTGTAGCAATATCAGAAGATTATCATATTTATAATAAAATGACCTAGAAAATATAAAACATACACATAGACTTTAACAGAATAACAATAAAAATACCCAACTATTGATAAAACTTAAAAAAACAAAAGATTTAAAATTTATTGTTATCACGCTATTGTTATGTTACGCATTTTCCTGGAAAATCTAATGATAAATTCGATCACTTTGGTGCACACTAAAGGCTGCTATACATGAAGTTGTACAATGTAAAAGCATAATATATTATATTTTGAACTATTTAATAACGATATTGTTAATGATATTTAGCAAAACATTAGTTGTTTCACTGTCAAGTGTTTATATTATGCCATTGCATTTAGATACTTTATGTATAGTAGCTTTGAGTGCATTAATGCAATGTAATGCGAGTGGCCGAATTCGCTATAAATATTCTCGGTTAAAATTTCATTTCTTATCAGATTTCTCGATCTCTTTCTATGAAAACTCCAATTCCCTATCTCAAATCATAATTCGCGAACTCGGTTTGAAGTTGAAAAGGTTTCCCTTTACAGATGGAATAAAGATGAAAAGTTCTTCGACAAACACTTACTCCCGTGAGTCTCTGTGATTTCTCTTTCGAGCCTGTTTCTTATAACTTTCGGACAGTATAACCTTTATGAAGGTGGCACCTCATTTTCGAAAAAAATTAATTTTTTATTAAAATTCTAAATACATTCCCAAAGAATTCTAGAGTTGAGTGACAGTATAATATGGCGTATTTTCTTAACTAACCATTAAACTACCACGATTTATACATATTTATTGTGCGAATACTTTTTCTAATTATCTATCTGATTTCTCCAAAAATTATTCTATCATTTATTACAAAATAAATATCAATTTTGAAAATTAATACAATATATTATTTGATAGATTTTCATATAATGCCGTTATAATTTATAATGAGCTGTTGGAATCAAATGCCAATGCATTTGCTAGCAAAACTATTCGTTGTGGTGATAATATTCTTGAGATAAGAAGGTTTGTAGTGATACTTGAATTAATTAATGTCCTGCTCTTACCTAATGAATCTAGTTGACGATGAAACTGTGACTTTAGTGATTTCAAAGAAAATTATTCGTAGATATAATGAAACAGACACGAGGAGATATCATTTGCGCAAATTTACAGAAATGTTAACATTACACGCTTTAATTATTAGATTTCATTAATGATAAAATTATTTACTGTACTAATTAGAATTTCACTATGTTGATTAAATATTCAACAATGCGAATTTTTTAAACTAGTTTATTTGAAGTTTTTTTTCTTTTATTTAAAAGTGTATTTTAAAATATTGTCATAACTTCTATCAACTTTGAGAAATTTTATTGTATTGTCAAGTAACAATTACAATTCAATTTTAATATGTATTTGAAACATTTGAATTAGATCAATTAATATATTGCGCATATTGCAAGTGTATAGTATTATTGATTTACCATTCTCATTTACATAAATTGTATGAATCAGAAACGAATGCATTTACAGTTATCTGTACTCGAAATTACGCCTGCGGTGCGTTTGCCATGAAATCACGGGCCACCAAATCACCAACTAGAGCATGCATTAATATAGAAATATTAATCGTCGCGCTTCTGTGGCTACGCGGAAAGATCTCGATTGTCCATTCGAATTTGCAATCGTTATGTAGAAATTGGGGTAACGGGTATGCAAATATCAGTGGACACGGTGTATCTATTCGAATAAACTGCTTCGCGTCCTAGATAATTTGTCACTGCGAAATCCGCGGGGATTATTTGTCGAGCTAATAATGCGGGTTCACTGTACCTATCCGCTGTGCAAACGATAAAATCTGCGAAAACGCAGCCGCTACGAGTAATTGCACATGCAAGTATCCGTGATTGTGTCTCTGGATAATTATCAATGAAAATCACACAGTAAAATTACACGGTGGGATCATTCAATCGCGATTCCGTATTTTTGATATTTTTTTTTTACCGCGCGAAGATATGGATCGCTTAAAATATGCAATAAATCTTAACAATAAGTTCCTAATGCTTTTACGAAGGATATTAATTACGAGTAATTGCGAGATAATTAAATTATGTCTGACACAAAGATTATTATTCATTTATTTGGAAAATCACACAATTCCCTACAATTTTTAACAAAAGATACATTAATTGTTTTATTGTCAAGTGTTTATATTATGCTCTATTGCATTTATAAATATTCATAAATACCTTATGTATAGTAGCTTTGTGTATTAATGCAATGTAATGCGGGTTGCCGAATTCGCTATAAATATTCTCATTTATAATTTTATTTCTTATCAGATTTCTCGATCTCTTTCTATGAAAGCTCCAGTCCCCTGTCTCAGATCATAATTCGCGAACTCAGCTTGAAGTTGAAAAGGTTTCCCTTTAAAGATGGAATAAAGATGAGAACAACAAACACCTTCTTCAACAAACACCTACTCCCGTGAGTTTCTGTGACTTCTCTTTCAAGCCTGTTTCTTACAGCTTTCGAACAATATAATATGACGTATTTTCTTAACTGACCATTAAACTTGTACCATGATTTATTTGCAAGCAAATGCATTGGCATTTGTTTCCAATAGCTCTATTAGATAATCTTTAATTTTTGGATTTTTTTTAACCTTTTTTAACTTTTAACTTTTTTATTAAATCTAATAGGTTGTACCTATAATTGTAATTGGACAGAGTCTATCTAATAATTTATCTCTAATTACATATATGCTACGCTTTGTGGTGGATGTACTCCCAGCGGAGTATTCAAAAATTTTAACTTAACATTTCGTTCCTGTGTTAGTTCCGCTTTGTTCTATTATTTCACACTCAAACGATTTTTTTTCTTCTAACGTTCTTTCAATTCATGCTATGATCCTATTTATTTGGTTAATTGTCGAATGTTTGTTCCTGAATCCGAATTGATGATCTGGAATCAATTTTCTTCATAAATAGCTTTTCACGTAACTTTGACATTGTTGGCAGCAACGAAATTGGGCGGTAGGATGTTTTCTCATTAGGTGGTTTGTCAGGTTTTGATATATCATTATCACTTCTGCAACCTTCCATTTCATGGGAACATATCGTGGTCGAAACGCTGCGTTAATTAGATAGGTTAATTTGACAATCCCTTTTCTCGGAAGTTTTTTTAGTATCTGTTGTAAGGTCAACGTCAGATACCTTTTTTGCACTGATTTTTTTAGCTATTTCATTAGACACTTCTGCAGATGTCACCAAGGTAATTTGAGTTTTATATGTTCGTGAACCTAGCATATCATTTTCCAGCAGATCAAAAATAAAAGAGAGTTCTTGTCGCATGCAGTCGAGTTCTATAGTTCCTTATAGTTTTTAGTAATAGTTCTGGTGATTTTATCCAAAAAAACACCAATCGAAAAAATGATCTGCTAACTTCCCGTAGCAGATCATTTTCTAGCAGATCAAAAATAAAAGAGAGTTCT